TCAGAAAGAAAGAAAGAAAGAAAGAAAGAAAGAAAGAAAGAAAGAAAGAAAGAAAGAAAGAAAGAAAGAAAGAAAAAGAAAGAAAATATAAAAGCCATCAAGCAGTTTTCCTCTTTCAAAAATTCTTTGAATATGGGCAGAGTTTGAGACTTGACAGTAAGCTGACAGGCTTGACTCTAGAATCTAAAAGAGTAGATAGACTGCCCAAAAAGAATCAAATTTTGCTTCTCACTCTCTGACTTGCCCTCTTTCTCTCTCTTCTGTTTCTTTCTTCTTCCATGTATTCTCTCCCTAAGAAAAAAGATGTGGATATTTACTATATATTGCTACATTTCTGGAACTGTGTAGGTACTAAACAAAGTGAAACAGGTAGACACTGCTCCTGCTTTCATGGTATATGGTGTGGTCTCCTTTTCCTTCCTCATGCCAATCTTTGCTTTGCTTATTGTCAGTGACCCTGGTTTCTGGAAATAGTCCTGTCTGGAAAGTCAAACACTCCTGGGTTTCAATTCTGATGAGTCCATTTACCAGCTCAGAGAACTTGGACATGTCACTTAAGCTCTCTAAAATTCAGTCTGTTGATCCAGAAAGTGGTTTACCATTATCTACCCCTTGTCTTACAGATTAAGTAGGATAGAGTATAAAATGCCTAGTATAGAGCCTGGTATATGTAAGTGTCCAATAAGCAAGAGATCTCCCATTCTTTCTTCTTGGCCAATCTTTTTTGTGTTCTTTCACTTTGTTTTTACCTCCCTATTCATTGTGGCCTTTTCCCTCTATCCAAATCTACTTCTCTTTTTCTCATCACCATTGTATTTACTGAATGTCTCTGCAAGTTTTTAATGGTAAATAATTCTACAACTACATTTTTAAACTCTTGAGCCTTTCCTCTTTGATATCAATTTAGGAATAGTAATTTTTGGTTTGAAGTTGAGGGGCTATTTCCTTTTATCATGATATAGGAAGCCTCATAAAACAGATGTCTAGTCTATGAACTATCTCCACATGACTAGAACGCGGTATAAAGTTCCTCATAATAAATGAAGTAAGATTCCAATCACGTTCTTGTACCTAAATAAGTACTTATTCTCACTGATATATGCTCTATTTATTTTCATGCTACTGTCCATTAACCACAGAAAATTATAGCTGTGTGAATAAATTGTAGTCTCAAATTGACTTTGGTTCTCACAATTTTAAAGATATTGTTTTTTCCATTTTACATCAACATTCTGTTCATGATTTTCATTTTCCTTTTATCTAACAGTATTAAGTGTTGTTTTAAATATAATGAGTGAGGGGCGCCTGAGTGGCTCAGTTGGTTAAACGATTGCCTTCAGCTCAGGTCATGATCCTGGAGTCCCAGGATCGAGTCCCGCATCGGGCTCCCTGCTCAGCGGGAAGTCTGCTTCTCCCTCTGACACCCCCCCCTCATGTGCTCTCTCTCTCTCTCTCTCTCTCATTCTCTCTCTTTCAAATAAATAAAATCTTTAAAAAAAGAAATAGAATGAGTGAAAAATATCTATGAACGTGGCGGGGGGGAGGAATTCAAGAAACAGCTTTGGAATCTAGAAACTGAATCATTCATCACAGTAGGTTAAATCCAACCCACTGAGATCCAACCCTGTTATTTTGGCTTTGTTGCCAGAAAGTAAAAAATTATAAAAGTCATAAAATGATGAAGCAATTATGTAAGTTAAAATTTTGTTATTTTAGTGATCAACGAAATGTGCAAGCAATTTAGGGAGAAAAAAATGGAAGTAGCCTTATCTGGAAGTTACCAAGCACATGTTGAAAATGTAAAGGTGTTTGAAAGAGAGAAACTATGCCAGGAAGAGCCCTAACAAGCACACGGCTCCCACTGTTAGATTCCAGCCCCTAGGAAAAGCATCTCTGACCAGGTTTCTATTCTGACTTGATAAATTTCTATGACACAATCAAAGCCATCTTACTGGTTTAAGTTCACTCAAGTTCTCTCTCCTTCCACCTCCCAACAGATGAAGATGGAATTTGACTTTACAGACCACTAGACCTTTTTCTTTCTTTTGTTTCTTTAAAACAGAAATGTATATCCTCTGAGTGGAGAGACAGTAACATAAAGCTTTTCCTTATTTTCCCTTTTTTAGTATAGGGCCTCAAAAATCATCCTTTTGCAAAAGGTTTTTAATCACCCATTTGCAAAAGATTTCTACTGTGTATAACCCCAGGCTATGTTTTTGAGATTTTCTTTTTAATCATTCAAAAAATATTGATGCCGCCCACAGGTCAAACCTGAACCCAGCCTTCCTACTTTTACAATAGTCCATTAAAGTGATACATCTACTTACTTACTTCAAATGTTACAATCAATGGCTATAATTCCATTTTTCTTTTTAAATTTTATTTATGATTTTAGAAATTGTCTCAGGTCTGCACCCCAGCATCAGATATATTTTTAAAGCACTGAGATCCTCCTTTCATTTTTTTTAGCATTTTATCCCTAATTTTTTTATGTATTTTTAGCATTTTGTCCCTAATTTATGTATTTTTAACCTCTACTACTACTTATCTCTAAAGACAGCATAAGAAATAGATACTACCAGAAAACAACTGAGCCTTTATTTTATTTTTGATCATATCTGTCTATGACTTCACCAGTGCTGGGTTTTTTTTTTCCTCCATTAGAGAATAAGTCTATCACCTCTGGTTTGTGTAGAATTCGTTAAAGAGTAATTTTTAAATGAGATTCTGTAATCCAGTGCAAATGGAAAAAAAATTGATTGCTGAATTAAAGCTAGTTGGGACATAATTTAATTAGTACCCAAGCAGAAGGGAAGAGAAACTACTTTAGTGTCTTAATAGAAAATCAATTTTGCAACAAAATTTCACATTTTTAAGCCTAATTAGAAAAACATTTACTTCACAGAAAATCATTTGGACAATACATATTCAGTCAAATGGCAAAAGTTGTTCAGCCTCCAATGGTCAATTACTTGATATTTCTTTGGAATGGGTTAAAGTCGTTATTCCTTGTGACATCTTTTATTTCCAAAGATCATAAAAGAACTGATGTTATTTCTAAGTATACTTAGCAGTCAGACGATAAGTCATACCCTCTGAGAATCTCTGCACAACAAATCAATGCCCTGAATGGAAATCCTCACAAGAGGTTAACTGGTGGAATTTTAAACATGGATGCCAAA